CCCCAGGACTTGATCGACCCGGAGGCAGCTAATCAATACCACAGCCCCGGATTCCGTAGCGACAGATTGCGCGATAACGAATGGAGGTCGCGTCGTCTGGCACACCTCCACTGCGCTGGACGGTCGCACGCTCGATCCCTCGAGCGGGGGAATTGGCGGCGCAGCTCATCGTCTGGCTGCCGCGTCGCAGTGCGCTCTCTCGGGTATGCGTTGCGATGGACCAGACCAGGCGATATCATCGAGTGGACGACGCGAGGGTTTCGCGTCGGGGAAGCATGCGTGATGTTCGGCAGAAGAGCGGAGTGACTGCTCGTGGCGGCAGCAAGCGCCCGGATGATGAAATGCGCGAAGACGCTGCTGACGCGTGACTCGTGCGATGACGAGCGAGCCACGGGCACGCAGCAGGTGATGGGAAGTGTGTGCGGCGACGATGGCGATAGGTGGTGTTTGCCCGCCGCAGACGCTCTCCGCGCCGCTCACACCGGCATAGCGCGCGCGGACGAGGAGCCAGCAGCGCAGTGCAGTGCAGTGCAGCGCAGTGCATGTTGTGCGTGGAAGATGCGCAGCCAGCACAATTCTAGCTAGCACCAATTGCTCTTATCGACCCTTGATAAGCCTAGCTTGACAGCCTGGGGCAACGAGCTTCCATCACCACCACCGCCCTTCGTCCTCCGACCTGAGAGTCACTACTTTTCATCCATCCCGCTGCCTGAGACCGACCTGCTTTTCCACCCCCATTGCCCTCTCTTCTGCGCCGCCTTCACTTACGCGCTGCCCCGTTAATTGCCCAGTTCCTTTCCTTTGACCGCCGCTGGCAGGCCCGAGCACCTTCTCCTCATCCGCGGTCACGAGCCCGAGTCCAGCAGTTCCAGATCGCTTTCACCCACGCCCCGACCGGCTGACCTGCTGTTCCCGTCACGACACTCGCATTGCGCACCGCAGCCATCATTCGACGCGCACATCGATGATCGTCTAGCCGCCAAGCCATCCATCGAGTGACTCCCCAGCAACCGAACACAGCACCATCATCCGCTTCGACGTTGATGCATCGCACCGCCCTGCCTGTACCCTGAAAGATTGTATAACGCACCTCGACGAACGAGAGGAGGAGGGACGTCCCGGCTTGCAGAACACCAACAGGTACTACCGCCAGCATGGCGGCGCCACGCATACCGGGTACCTCGTCGAGGCGCCCAGCACCACCGCCGGAGCTGGAGCCCGACGAGCTCATAGGAGAGTTTCGCAGGGGCAAGGAGATTGGGAAAGGCTCTTTCGCTACTGTATATCTTGCACAACATCGGGTAAGTGCCGACTCAGGAGGCGTCGTCCACCTTGATGAGTCGAATATGGAACAGATTGTTGACAATTTTGAACAGAAGAGAAAGTCATACGCAGCAGTCAAGGCCGTCCAGATGGGAAAACTATCTAAGAAATTGAAGGAGAATCTGGCGACCGAGATTGAAATCCTCAAGGGGCTCAAGCACCCGCACATCGTCCAGTTGTTTGTCTGCACCGACACGCCGTCCTACATCTACCTTGTAATGGAATACTGCCAGCTTTCAGATCTGGCACAGTTCATGAAGAAGCGCCACCAGCTGCCCAACCTACCCGAGACCGCAGACATATTCAGGAAATACCCAAACCCAGACCACGGCGGCCTGAACGAGGTTCTTGCTCGACATTTCCTGAAGCAAATCACCAGCGCCTTGCAATATCTCCGCTCGCATAACTTGATCCACCGCGATATCAAGCCTCAAAACTTGCTTCTCAATCCCGCGCCGACCTACATGTCGAGACTCAAACCCGAAGACGTGCCACTCGCGGCGAGCGAAAACTCGCTGATTCCCGCTGTTGGCGTCGCATCTCTTCCGATGCTCAAGATCGCTGACTTTGGCTTTGCCCGTCACTTGCCCTCGACATCCATGGCTGAGACGCTTTGCGGATCGCCATTGTACATGGCACCTGAAATCCTTCGATACGAGAAGTACGACGCGCGCGCCGATCTCTGGTCGACTGGAACTGTGCTGCACGAAATGATCGTGGGCAAACCACCCTTCAGGGCTCAGAACCACGTTGATCTCTTGCGGAAGATTGAGAGGGCAAACGATGTGATCGTGTTCGACAACAAGCACATGACCATCAGCCGTGGCATGAAGGATCTGATCAGAAAGCTTTTGAAGAAGAGCCCTGTCGAGCGTATGACTTACGAGAATCTCTTCAATGATCCAGTAGTCGTCGACGAGATCCCAGGCCTTCACTCGGAAGATAAAGTGCAGGAGCATGGAATTCCGGGCTCAGAGGCATCAGTGTCGGAACTCAGCAAGAGGATGGCCCGGGCTATGGAGACTGAAGCTTCACCGCGATCGACACCAGCACCCGAGCTGCGGGCCAAACGCTCTCAAGACGATGGCCCGGGACGCGCAAGCCGCAAACCGTCTGAAGAGGCTATCCCGCAGCGGAGGTCCATCGACGGGGAACGACGTAAGTCTTCAGTGGGTAGCTCGAACCAGGCAGAGGTCACAGGCATGAAGCGTCAACCAAGCCAACGAGAACCGCGCCGTCCAAGCATCGTCGCACACATAACTGCTCCTGGACGTCAAGAACTCCAGCAGCAGGCTCCGATGAACCCGGCTCCGCCGATGCCCAGGCGAGCCTCTCGCTCTTCGCCACTCGCTGGACCGCCACTTGTTCGAGAACCCACTATTGAGGCAGCGAAAGAAGATCGCGCTGCTCGCGAGGCTCACGAGCGCACTGCACACGACGTGGCGTTCGAAAAGGAGTATGTTGTCATCGAGAAGCGTGCAGTGGAAGTCAATGCCTTTGCGGACGAATTGGATGCCGTGCATGGGTCGCCATCCCACCAGGGTGCAATGGTCAGACGTGCCACGACGCAAGGTCTGCCGAATTCCCTGCCAGGAACCGCACCTGTCAGTTCTTCAAGAGCCGTTCAAATGGCGCCCGGACGAAATGCTCATCAACGAGGTGGCTCGTTCGAGAGGCGTCTTACGTACTCTCCGCAGTCGGCGACCAACATGCTGACCAAGGCCTTGACGGCTGCGAATGCTCGTCTCTTTGGTACCGGTACATCGCCACCGATCGGAGGCCCATCACCGCCGCGTGGTTACAGCGCCTTCCCGGCATACCCCACGCCTGCAGCAGCGTTGGCCATAGGCGATGGCAACGATATCAAGCCCATAGATGAGGAGACTAGGTTGGTCCGCACGCTGGAGGAGGCAGCACACCGCAGCGATGTCATTTATGGCTTCGCCGAAGTCAAATACCGGCAAATACAGCCGGCACCACCTTCGACCCAGGACGCGCTTGGGATTCAGCAGATCGGCGCACTCGAGAAACCTGGGGAAGCCGATGGTGAAGACAGGGACATGACCAACATAGCCATTGTTGGGGTTGCTGAGGAAGCTTTGGTGCTGTATGTCAAGGCTCTTGCCATCCTCACCAAGACCATCGATCTTGCTGGTTGGTGGTGGAACAAACAGAAGGAACGTGGGGAGGAAGTGCCAACCGAAGCTTCTGGTGCGCACGGTAGTGTTGCACGTCGGATTTTTGGAGTCGTGAGGTGGTCTCGCGGTCGTTTCAACGAGTGCTTGGAGAAATCGGAGATAGCGGGCCGTCGCTTGCAGCAGGCTCAGCGACAATTGCCCGAGGACCACAGTGGGCACCCGAACAATCACGATGCGACTACAGGATCGTCGGTAGCAGCTTCGGCGGACCAGTTCCGTATCACGAGCGGCGTCACGGCTGAGCGTCTCATGTTTGATCGAGCGGTTGAGATGAGCAGAGCTGCAGCAGTAAGCGAATTGGTGGGAGAAGAGCTCAGTGACTGCGAGTTGGGCTACAAGACTGCAATTATGCTGCTCGAGGCGGTCCTGGAGACGGAAGATGACCCGCTCATGCGCAAGCCCAGCTCGAAGAAGGACAGGCCCGTCGATGAAGCCATCAATGGCATGGAGACAGAGGACCGGCAGACGGTCTTGCGCAGTAAGTTGTCCCTTGCTCCTTTGTATCATGTCGCTAACCTGTTTGAAGTCATCGAGAACGCTAGGGGTCGACTTGTGTCTGTGAGGAAGAAGATCAACGCAGCGCAGACTGCTGTGAAGCGCGCGCCGAGCGGCAGCTCAACGCCGAAGCCAACAAGCAACCCATCTCCATCATTGATCGCACCCAGCATCGGTGGCACGCCTCCGCGATGACCATGATGACATGTCCAGCTCCACGAATGGACCACGGAATGGACAGCGCCACGTTTGGCGCCTTTCAGACTTGTCTACTAACATACCACTTTCGGCTCACACATGGTCCACGGACTATTTACAGACGAACGACGACGATAATGCACAGCACAGCACAGCGACACGCACCCAGCACGCGACGTTCTACGCAGAGTATTCCTTTTTTGTTTCCATGAAGATTGTTTAGAGCAGCGCCCATGAATTGATGAAACTGAATCGGGCATCAGAGTTACGATGGCGTTTACCTACACGGGTTTCAAGCGGGAGCTACGGTACTGGGAAATGGGATGGGACTCGACAGATTGTGTACGGAGTTACATGGGAGAAATATGGAGAAAGACTGCGATGATTTTGAGATGTAGTGTTTCGGCACGATGAAAGCTGAACTGCATGAGGCGTATAGCTGGAGACAGCATGGCGAGGAGTCACTTCTGGCGCAACCCTACTTTGCGAGGGAGACATATGGGAGATGGTCGGCATTGACTCACGGTTTCTATGATACCACGACGCGGCCGAGGAAGACATGAGCCCGTCCAACGCATGCGATGAGGCGCATTATGCGCGATCTGGGCTGATCCAGCTTTGATAGCCATACCAATGGAATGTCTTTTGACTGAACCATTCAACTTCGATCACCTTACATTGCGAAGCCCGTCTCGACCGCAAAGCGACCTCGCGCGTAGGGAAGCTGTTTTGAGACTGATGTCCGGGCTGCTGGCGCGGGGACTCCGCGCTCAGCCTCGGCTGGCGCCAACATTGAGGTCGTTTGGTGCTGTAGTCTACCGCGCTCTCTCACGATATGCTGGTACTGGAGAAGACTCGTAGTCGACCATGTACGCTAGGCAGCCCCTGTCTTTTGGAGGAAGTGTGCGTACACTGGCGATTGCTTTGAATTGAATAGCTGGAAGCATCTTCCTTCGAAGAGATAGGCGATTTCAGACTCCTGAGTCCAACGCAATAGCATAATATCGCTGAAAGAGGTGTCTGAGATACAAAAGACAAGTACATACTTTCTGCCGACAATTCATGGCACAAGGCTGCGACCGAGAACCGAGTACTGTATGCGTCCCCAAGTGCTGGTTCGAGCACATGCGCTCCTTGGCGGGGCGGGGCTCCACTCTGACGATGTCGCGCGTGCAGGGCTCGTAAGGAACAGGCCAGAGCTTCGGTGGTTGAGACCAGCGTTGGTTTTTTTTGCGGACGCGTGCTTGCCCAACCGCCGATAAGAAGAACAGTCGCATGTCGCTGCCAGGCATATATCTCTCTCGCAGCTGCCTCACTTCGTACCTGCTTCCTCACTCTCGAATACGCCTGCCTTCCAAACCTCCAAGATTTCTATCCTTTGCGACCACTGCCACGACTACTGCTCGATCGAGACACTCTCCACGACATTGCCCATTCATTACCGTTCGAGGCACTCAGACCGACTCAGCCAACATGGCCACTCTCGGAGCGGCATCGCAGAAGCACAAGGTGGCCATCATTGGCTCCGGCAACTGGGGTACCACAATCGCCAAAGTCGTTGCCGAGAACACTACAGCCAACCCCGACTTATTCGAGCGAGATGTCCAGATGTGGGTGTATGAAGAGCAGGTGACAGTGGACCAGCAACAGCAGAAGCTCACACAGGTCATTAACACCAAACACGAGAACGTCAAGTACCTGCCGAATATCCCTCTGCCTACCAACATTATCGCCAACCCGGACCTGATCGATACCGTACGAGATGCCACAATCCTGGTCTTCAACCTACCCCATCAATTCATTGCTCGTACCTGCGACACTCTCAAGGGACACGTCGTGCCATTCGCTCGAGGGATCAGCTGTATCAAGGGCGTAAACGTGACCGAGGACAAATGCGAACTTTTCAGTGACACCATTGGACAACAGCTAGGCATCTACTGTGGTGCACTGAGTGGAGCCAACATTGCTACAGAAGTGGCTTTGGAAAAATGGTCAGAGACCACTGTCGCCTACCACCCGCCGGAGATGGACAGCAGGCACCAGACACCAGTAGGCTCAAGGCGTGGGTCCGAGAGCGGAGCGCAAAAGGTGGGCTTGGACAGCGGGCATGTTGCTAAACCCGGCGTGAAGACGACGAAGTTGAAGGTATGTTTGCCCAAGATAACAATGCCGACACTTTCAGCATGCTCACAAGATTCTGCAGGCCCTTCCTACCGATTATCCTCCCCTCAGCCACAACAACATCAAGAAGCTCTTCCACCGACCATATTTCCACGTGCGAATGGTACACGATGTGGCTGGCGTCTCGCTCGGAGGAGCTCTCAAGAACGTTGTCGCCCTGGCTGCAGGCTGGGTAGATGGCTTGGGCTGGGGTGACAATGCCAAAGCAGCAGTCATGCGCGTGGGCATCATGGAAGAGGTCAAGTTCGGCAAGACATTCTTCAGCAATAGCGTCCGGACCGAAACTTTCACAGAAGAGTCATGTGGTGTCGCAGACATGATCACATCCTGCTCCGGTGGCAGGAACTTCCGATGTGCCAAAATGTCTGTAAAAGAGGGAAAACCTATTGGTGAGATTGAAGAGAGAGAGTTGAATGGCCAAAAGCTGCAAGGAACAAGCACAGCATATGAGGTGAATGCCTTCCTGAAGAAAGAGGGCAAGGAAAGAGAATTTCCTCTGTTCACCGCGGTATACAATATCTTGGAGGGCAACAAAAAGCCTGAAGACATTCCAGATCTCCTCGAGGATCGAGCTGACGAGTAGAGCTACGGCTCGTGCTTGGAAACGAGAACGGCAACAAAGACAGCAAGTGGAGACTGGAGCAATTGCTCTCCAGTCGGAGAGGAAGTCAGCGAGACTGAGATGTTCCGGCGAGCCGGCTTCGCGGACAACGGCCAGGGACAAACTAGGAACCCCAAAGCGCAGCTCGTCCTCGGAGAGACGACGTGGGAAGGGACCATTATCGACGGCATCATTACGTGGCGGGGATAGGCACCTCGCTGACGTTGACCGTCGGATGAGTGCGTGCATTGTTACAGCGACAGTGCTCGAGTGAAAGTGACAGTGCATATGCAACATGAGCAAGTCTGTACCATGTGGAACAGAGTGGCAGCGAAAGCCAATGGGTATCCTGAGCATTTATAAGATCCTACGTACCAGCAACAGATCATGAACGAAACGCTAAATGACAGAAAATGGAACGACCGCATTATTTCAGTTTGAGCTTGCCCAGGAGATCTTTCCTTGCAGCAAAGCTTCTCCATCGCTTGCCAAAAATGTCTGTGAGATATTGTCAGTCTAAATCGCGATTGCTCTTCTGCATGAGGAGAACTTACACATTGGCACAGTCAATAGACAAACTACCACCTCAACGCTGCTGACCCACATGAACGTAGGTTTGATGCCTGCTTCCACGAGCCAGTCGTAACCAGAAAATGTGAGCCCAAAGGAGAAAATATTCTTGAACACGAGCAAGCAAGTGAAACCCTCAATGGCAAGATCGCGATGCGCATCGACGATGTAGAGCGCACTAGCCGTAGCACCAATTACCATACCCGCAACTTCCATGCCGAAGAAGAAATCGGGCCAGAACCAGCCATATTTCCAAGTATTGTTGCCCGTAATACCGAACCCGTATAATCCTGCGCAACCGATAACGAGCTGGGGAATGACGAGTAACATACGGAATTCAGGTTCGTAAATTCCGTTGTTCTTCTTCGTCAGCCAGATCATGAAGCCGTCGCCGAAAAGGCCTGAAATGCCGAAACCTATGAGAGCGCCGATAAAAGCTCCGGCGTACATGTAGCCTGTTTCGACTTCGTTGAACCAGAGTGGAGCGCCTAACATGATTGCCGCGAGTACGATACCGATGAGGACGGTCCAGCCGATGATCAAGCCTTGGATGAGACATGCCCAGAGGAAGGAGGGGTGGAGGAAGAGAGGAAGGGGCCGGATTAGGAGTTTGAAAAAGTTCTCGGGAGAGTGTCGGCCGTTGAACATGGCGAGGTTCTCGCGCGTGAGGAAGGAGAAGTTGGCATATTGGTGGATGTTGCCTTCTGCGGTGCTGGCTTGTCGTTCGGTGGTGGATTCGGCTGTGGCTTTTTCGGCTTCGTATGTTTCGCTGTATGTGGTCGGATTGTCGCGAAGTTCGTGGCTGGAGCTTGAGGATCCATCGGAGTCGCCTCGACGGTGTTGCTCGAGATGAGCATTGAAGCGTGGGTCGCGGTTGTAGGCTGTTTCTGGGCAGTATAGGATGACTGCAGGGAGTAGGCCTGCGGTGAAGATGGCGATGAAGTAGAAGGTCCACTCCCAGCCGAGCTTGTGGGTCATGATCCCCACGATCACAGGTGTGAAGAAGGCTCCACCGAAGAGGCACAAGTTGCTAAGTGCCATGCGAATGCCGACTTCGTGAACGAAGTACAGCTCGCCGACGCTCACGTTGACCAAGGCTTCGAAGGGTGCCAGTGCCACACCTTGGAAGAAACGCGCTGCAGCCAGAGAGTCGTAGTTCTTGCCGCTGGCCCCGCCCCATACGGAGGAGATGATGATCAAGACGGTCGCTATAATATAGAGATGTCGCTTGCCCCAAATACGCGCGCTCGGAACTGAGGCGAAGCCTGCAATACCGACTCCGAGAAGGTGCCATCCTGTCAGCAGCGCGATCTTGGTGAAGCTCTTCTTGAAGTGTAGTGTCAGTGTGAGCGTGTTCGCGGCCAGCAGTGGCGACAGCGTTGATGCGATCACGGAGAGCAGACACAGCACTCCGCAGATGACATCGCGCTTCCATAGCGGCCAATTCTGTGCATTCAATCAACACCTTTCTGTGCTCCCATGTGTCCTGCTACTGCCACATACCAACGGATCTTTCGGATCATCACTGGGCTGTGGTACCAAAATGACCCCATTCTTGCTCCTCTTCAACTTCGATGTATCGTTGCCGCGTGCGAGGGAGGCGGCCGGGTTGAGGTCTTCGAGCGTCGCAGTGCCTGCGAGGGGTCAGTCCATCTGCCTTTGTCGCCCATCCGCCACACCTGCAGTCCGTCGAATGCCGCGCGCTGTGGAGGGGAGGAGCAGTGCGTCCGGTGGTAGCGCTTACCAGGCACGTGTGAGAGCTTGTAGTCTTGCAGTACTCCCAAACCCATCTTGCGCGATGTGTCTGCTGTGTGTTGTGAGAAGTCGCAGAGTGCGCAAGACGCACAAGCGATCTCCAGTAGCTGGAGGCCAGGGTCGAAAGCATATTGGGCCAAGGGAGAGCAGATCAAGCTAAACCTATGCAGGGTTTCCAGCTGTGTAACTGTGTTATAGGCAAAGACGGCCGCCATTCCAACACCCAACAACGTACGGGGCTGTTGCCGTCGCGAGCCTTCGAAAATCCGCACATCATCGCTGAGAGTATCGCTGTCTTGTTCTCACTCTGGCCATGCTATACGAGCCAAGCGTGCTGTACGGTCTCACGAAGTTATGCAAAACAAGGCCAATCAAGCACGTTGGGAACGACAGGCTTCACGAACTCAGTGAGCAACATCGTGGCACCCCTGCGATGATGCCACAACATGTCCACGAGCTTCCGTGCATAGATGACGACGACGCTATGGGCGAAAGTCCGTTGTCTCGCAGGTGCAAAATCAGTACCTGCGACACACACAGCTCAGATGAGTGGGATGCATATCTGAAGGACAACTTAGCACTTCCGGGCTTAGCTGTCGTGAAGATAGGATATTATGCTCGACATGAATTCAGGTTGAATTGAATGCCACCGCATGCCACCGTGAATCAGACTGCACTTCTGTAACTAGCAGCAGAAAATGGAGAATTTCTTCAAAGCTCTACGGCTCCCGCAGTTGAGCTTTCACTGCGAGCATACGCTCTTGTGCTCTGCGAGTCGAGACTTCATCACGCATCTGGGCATACGATGCTGGTCTCCGAACACCGCAACCAAAGAAGCATAGGGTATGCGGAAAAAGTTCTGGCTGAACTGGCTCGGAAAAACGCGATGTTCAGGCGATGAGGAAAAGGAAACTCCAATCGCGGCGACCTACGATGATCCGCATGAATGCCCTCGTCCCGCAACAGTACAGAAGAATACTGAGATATTGTGTCTGTACTCCCTTCTCGGACACGTCGACCCATCGCCATAATGAAATGACCCATCGAGAAGACGCTTCCTATATCCAGGAGAAATCGCTCTAGAGCACCACGCCTCCGTAGAGACTGGCAACATACACCTTGGAATGCTCGACGACCACAAGGGCTGCCGTGTGAGCCTGATGCATGTCGTGGCTGGCGCTCAAAGTTTTGATCAAGTTGTCAAAGAGGAGCGCGAGGGAACGCAGACTTTTGTATTGTGCGGCAGAGCGGACGGGCCCGCAGCGCGCCAAGGAAATGCTCGCCGAGCCGAGTTCTGCCTTCCGCGATTCTCGCGTCGTCAGGCAACTTCGTCAAGCGCCGACCACACCACACCGCGCTTTGCTCGATAACGAACCTTGCCGCTTTGCAGCCACATCATGAAACATGTCTGCAGTCAGCGAAGCCGTCTGGGCCAGACAATCATAGCGTCTGGCGTTAGAGAATAGCACATGGCGTTGCTTCTCTTGTAGCACCGCATGAACCACCAGTTGAGTCAAAAAGCCCTTTCCTTTGACTACCTTCATTCTTCTGCAAAGACAGAAGGCCTTCGCGATGGCTCGGTAGCTCACCTTCGCTTCACCACAGCAGTGACAGTATAGGCTCGACACCCCGGCGCCACGATTCTGCCACAGATCGGCAACGACACAGCAGGTTCTAATCCTTGCAAGCCATGAGACCGCTACGAAATATGCAAGGGACGACATCATACTGTGCCGTAATTGCACTTCTCGTCCTTTGTGCATATACAAAAGAAGTCGCCAGCACCGTGTCGTCAACTTCTACAACCTTTGTGGCAACAACAACAATCACGGTTACATTAGACTCCGCCACTCTCAGGTCCTTTGCCCAGCTATCGCATACTACACTGCCTTTGCCGCTTAACGCGCTGGTCGCGGGCTCTGATAGAGACACACTTTCCAACAGTGCAACAGCAACAATAACAGTCACCCTGACAACAGCTGTCAAAATGTCCTCCGACTCCCTCCAATCACAAGCTTTGAACAGCACCAACGAATGGAGATCACGGCACATGGCAGAACCCGTCCAATGGAATGACACACTAGCGGAATACGCACACGACTGGGCCAAGGGCTGCGTCTGGGAACACTCTGGAGGCCCTCATGGCGAGAACCTGGCAGCAGGATTCGAGAATGCGACACTCGCTATCGACGCTTGGGGAAACGAAGAGGAGAAGTACAACTACAAGAAGGGGAAGTTTACCGAGGAGACTGGTCATTTCAGTCAGCTGGTCTGGCGCAATACGACTTCGATCGGGTGTGCTGAAGTTGAATGCGATACTGATGGTGATAAAGGCGTGCAGGGAAAATACTTGGTTTGCGAGTATAATCCTGCTGGAAATGTTCAAGGACAGTTCAAGTACAATGTTATGAAGTCTGGTATGGATGAGAATGGGAATCCGGGTTTTGGTAGCGAGGGGACGAGGTCGTGGAGTAGCCCTCGAATGCTGGTGCTGGCGCTGGCTGTGGGGTGGGTGATGGTGAACTTTGCGGTTTAGGTGGTGCGAGCGAGTACTGCCATGCCACTTTGAGTGGTGTAATGTTAGCGAAAGATACCCATTTGCGCGCGAGAGTCGCCGGGTGCGGCTATGTATGTACGACTTGATGTGAGATGGCTTTGAAGAATCTGGAGCACAGAATTCATGATTCAAATTGTCTGGAGACTTGCACTCGTACGCATGCTTAGTGCGTTGCATGCTATCTGCAGAAGACACGGAAGTGTATCTCTGTCTGTGATGCCGCATTGCATATCATATCCATTGGCGCCATGTCGCTGCGTCTGTTCTTCGTGAAACTGAGCATGCTGGACTAGTATTCTCGCACCTCCTCTCACGCTGCACTCGACACTGCACACAACTGTCTATTTGCCTTTCCCGCCTGGAGCCGTGTAAGTAGAGCCACCCTGCCCGTCGTTGTAGTACGTGGATCCGTTGGGGTCTATTCGAGCCAATTAGCACAAGCATACAAAGCCTTTGGAATAGTACGAACTGGAATAGTAGTAGCTCCCGTCAGTGTTGCTGTAATGGTACGAGTTGCTGTTGGAAGCAGAAGAGCCGTAGTCGCGAGAGCAGTAGTGGTTGCCCTGTCGATCTATCAGTGCTTATGCCTCGCAAGGTGTGGTCATATTTACGATACCTGCGAGTTGGTGCCGCTCGAGTTGATGGTGTAGCCGCTGCCACTGCCACTGCTGCCACCAGTGGAGCCGGAGCTGGAACCGGAGTTTTGGGAAGACATGGTGTTGATTTGATTGTTGTGGGGTCTGGGGATGTTAGTGTGAGATGTACAGAAGAAGCTATTGGTGGCTGGACGTCCTTTTATGGTAGACTCCAGGGCTTGAGGGTGAATCAGGCCAGCAAACAAGTCGCAAGCACTAGAACGTGCCTGCCTCACTGACCGAAGCTTAGTGGGGCGCCGGGGTGCAGGTGCCCGCTGACAGTCAGTCACAAGACCAGGAAAGAGTGAATGCTCCTTGGTGGGGGAAGTGTCAATCGCCGGCCTATGCCGGTTACGCGCATTGGCATATCAGGGGACGTGTCTCATTTTGTGATGTGATTGATCGCGCGTTCTTCCGCCTGTCATGTGAAGAGGCAGTCAATTGTAATCAGGTCGTTTTGGTCGTGCTATCGGCACTTCGAAGAGCTGTTCCACAGCAATGATGGAATATGGTCCTTTTTGCAGCTACAGGGTAGCGAGGCGTAAGAAACTTTCCACAAGCATGTGGAATGGTCTGACCACGGCGGGGTACACCCATTGACTTCAGGACTGTGCCACGCCGATGCTGCGCGCAGACTATTCCAATCTCTCAAGCTGTTCGTCATCGTCAAACATTTCCGAATACTTTCTCTTCAACATCATCCGACGTGATCGAATTGCAGACTCGGAGCGATGACCCAAGTCGTGTCGCCGACGGATCTCGGGGGCATTGAGCCCGTCGTGCATTCCCAGCATGAGTTCATGGTCTTCTTCAGCAGTCCAGCAGACCAACTTGGAGCGTGTCTGGCCTTGCGCTCTCTGGCCTACACCGGCCTCGTCTCGAAGTCGTGACGAGCAGCCGCCTTGGACATCACCTGAGAGACGGTGGTCCTCTCTCACCGTAAGGTCTCGCACAGGAGGCTTGCATGCACGGTGCCGCGCAGGCTCGCCGCACGTCTCGCGCGACTGAGCTTTTGCTGCTGGCCTCATCGGCGGATCGCGAGCAACCTCAGCCTTCTTCACCGGCGGCTTGCTGCTCAAGTTGCGCTTTGCCAAACTTGTACATGGCGGTCGATGCTGAGAACCACTTGGCTTGCAACCCCGCTGCTCTATTCCGTATGGCGCTTCTAGGGCTGGAGCGACGGCAGTGACAGGCCCGTTCGCCAGTTCCCTCAAGACATCCATGTCCAAGACATTTGGCAGCACGTAGCCTATTTCGAGCAGATCATCGTATATAGAGTTGAATGTGCGTACAACAAACTGGAACTCCGCACACATATCGTCCGGGCATTCCGGACGCTGCTGGTATCCTACTCTTGCTCTTTTGATTGAATGTTCTGCGGACCTCGTGCGCGTCACAAGGCCTTGGACTGGAGGTTCGTCCCCAGAGGCGTCATCGGAGATGTCGTCCTCTAGATCTAGTAAGATCGGATCCTCACGTCGTCCAGAACCTTTCGGGCGCGTGTAGGTGACAGCTGCTGCAGTGTCGACGGCAATATCGCTCTGACACGTCGTACTGCAAGAAGCTCGCGTTGATTCATCTGGCGGAGAGCTAGGTGGCGTCTGTAGACCAGACACGATCTTGGCTCGCTCCTTCCTGCAACAAGGCATTAGCCCAGGCTCGGCATAGGCTCCAAACTGACAATACTTTCCATTTGCGCTCCGATCGCGACCTCCTAAGGGCGTCGCGCTGTTGTCGGCGTTCTGGCGCCTTGCGTCTCACATGCTGAACAAACCCGTGGGCAGCAGCATGCATTGCTGCGGAAGAATCGTTTCGATACACAACAGGTATTCCAACCCGGACGTCGCCCCTCATACTGACGAAGGCTCTCGTACCATTTGTGAATGTTGTGAAGCACGAGAGTCGAGGACCAAGTGCACGACGCGTGGGAAATTGGTCGCACGCGCTCCCTGGCCACGCGAGCCTGGTGAACCATAACCAGACGCCAAAGCCAGAGGCATGGAGAGTCTACCACGACGCACGGGCGTAGATCCCAAGTTGTAGGTGGTGGACTGAACACCTAGGCTTGATCAAGTGCTGAAAATTTGTCAACAAATGCTATTGTGCAATCCAAGTACTGTCTGGAGTCTGTCTGATATCTACACCTTTCAGTCATCACTTACATGCCGTGTGTCTGCTTATCATCACGGCGCGTGCTCACCAGTGTGAACCTCCGTGCTCTGCTCAATGCATCCTGCTCATGTGTTGCCGCATAGACTCAGCTATGTCCAATGTGAAAAATGCTCTCTGCGCCCCCAAGGATTCCCGTCACTTCAATGACGACGTTAAATATTGTGCTCACGGTCCATAGCGCGATCAAGCACCAACCGATCTTCCTGCTCAGAACCCACTTGTTGAGCGGTACTGCGATCAATAGTCCCACCAGTGTGAGCAACAATGTGATGCCGCTGACGATGAGTGTTTTGCTGACTTCCATGTGATATGAATGAAACTTGAGATGTTTGCCAGGGTGCTTCTCATGTCGTCTTTCTGCGCCTTTGATCAAGATATACGATCCGCTCAATCCTATACCAAGGAGGATGTTGAGCATGGGACCGCCGAAGCAGGCAGATAGAGCCATGACAGGGTATCCAAGCTTCGCCACCGTCACGTCAGCAACGAGGTCTCCCAAAGAATTGCCCACTGCGAAGATCGTAAGGCCCATGATCGCGTGCGACATGTTCAGGATGACAGCCAAGGCCTTGAGCGCCCCCACCACTTGTGCGGCGATCGCTGATATCCAGGCGATGGCGACGACAAATCCAGCGAGGGACAATATTATCCTATATGGTTCCGGTAGATGGTATGGTGTCGTGGTCAACAGTATTGGCACGAGCAGCACCAATGATACGAGTAGGCAGATGAGAATGGCTCTGACAAGCCATGAAGTTGGCAGACCATCTGGCGCCTGGATGTAAATCGAGAGTACGATCATAATCGGAGCCGTGAAGAGTTGTATCAGCGTCAACCAGCGATTCCACAGCTCTGGGGCACTTTCAAGATCGCCAGGCTGCGTGTTATCCAATGTTCGTGGTTCTGCAACGATAGAGCCGTGATGTGAAGAAATCGCACCTGACTTGGTGTGATACGATTGCTCTGCGTGGACCGCAGCACTGGCCGACGATCCATGTCCGGTGACGCCCTGCGTTTCAACACCATGCGGATGAGGCGTTTCTGGATCATGCATCCATTCTGGAGTCAGCCCTTGTATCCCTCCTGAGGTTGGCGTGAGCAGTGCGGTATTGCTTCTCGAACGCGTTGAGTCCCAGCTCATGTCTTTGTGAGGATGCTCCGAGATTGACCCGCTGGTCTCGGATTCCTTCTCGTTCTCTACCACTGGCAGGGTGATGGTCAAGAGAAACACACTCGGCGCGGCAACAGCACCGAGGCATTTCCCGTACCATGTCTTCTCGCCCCAATGATAGATAGTCGGGAATAGAGCTTGAATCATGACCCCGGGAGGAGGCAACACACTGTACGGCCATATTCTCGCAAGCCTATCTGGGCGACGGGGCCGTTCTTGTTCTGCACTCTCATCTGCAGCAATGGACTCTGGCGAAACGATGCTGGATAGCTGTGGCGCAGCAGAGAACATGCTTGGCGCTCGGGTGCTCAATGGAGACCGATCGCTGCCAGTCACTGACGGTGATGGGAAGTCTCGGTACGCCGGGAACGGAGATGTGCTTCGCGAAGAGCCTGGAGATCTATCTTTGCCAGGTATGATGATCTTGAGCAGTGTTCTAGCGCTGGGCACACGTGCTGGCTGTGACCGATCTTCGGCAGAGGAGCTGCGATCTTGCCTGGCGGAGCTGTAGAAATAATCGCTATTAGCGCTGGGTCGTCCTCTGGCGTCTTCTGGCGTCAAGAGCGCGGGCGATGGTCGGACGTCGGTCTTCGATCGTTGACGCTGTACGGGAGCATCTCCTCGTGGAGAAGCCGGCTCGATTTGGAGCAGTGGAGACGCCGGTGCGTGGGCGCCGTCCACAGACGGCACGGTGAGACTGTTCGTTTTCTTGTGCATAGATCTGTCCAGATGCGCAAGATTCTCTGACGATGGTATCGGACTCAATTTCTGCAAGTCGGGGTTGACACGTAAGGCTGCTGCATCATTTGCGGACACTGCTCTGGTACGCCCAGCTGGCGCCGAATGTGGCACCTCCAATTCACGCTGTTCGATATGGGGCTGTACTGCATGAGGTTCGTCGTCCTCCGTCGTCACCAAAATTTCGTATGGCGGCCGAGCTGCGGGGTCAGAGGTCGATGATAACTGCTCCTGCTGCTGAGCAGTGGTGAATGTTGGATCGTCGGAGTATCTGCGCGAGTCCAGAGGGATCGTCTGTATATTGCGAGATTTTTGCAGCGACTTGAGTACTGATTGGAATTCCAGAGCGCCCACAAGTGACGGCCGCACTGGTGTGACGGTGTTCCTCCTGGAGCGGGTCGGCCTCGTCAAGCGCATGTTGCTTGCCAACTCGCTCATCCACTTATCTCGCTCTTCTTCCTCTACATCCTCGTCTCCGTCGTCCGCACGTCGTGATGAACCCGCCTCGAGCGCGGCCCAATCCTCGCGCGACGCACCTCTAGAAATGCTAGGCCTGCTCGAATCCGGAGCTTCGTCTGGATCATCACGATATTCTTCATACTCATTGTCCAGCTCGTCCTCCACAGGTACGAAATGGCTTCGCACCGCGGCTTCCTTTTCTCTTCTTTGCTTCTTGCGCCCCAACCACCAGTGCCAGCCCACGACGAATGCCACATAGAAAATGTAGTACACCACCATAGACGCACACTCCCAGAAGTGGAGTCTCCCATCCCACAAAAACACCATGCTGAATGCAGCGGCCACGGTGAAGAATCCCACGTCGCGTATGAAGCTCTTTCGAGCCACATGAAATGGTCTGATGAGGGCCATCGAGCCCGCCACGACGGCGGTAATAAAGCCTGCAGCTCCAAAGAGCTCGCCGACAGCCAGACTCCCGCTGTCGGTGCTCATGGCAGCGAAGGTCGAAAAGACATCGGGGCTGCCGTTGCCAAAGGCCAAAAACGTTACGCCGGCCACGCTCTCACTCATGCCGAGGATTCCTGAGATAGTGCTGAGGTCTATGCAGAAGAAATCGCTGGCGGCGATGCCGATGGTGGAGAAGAGGACGCCCAGCCATGAGACCAGGACCAGGAAGGCCACGGGCTTCGCGTTGTGCAGTCGGCAGAAGTACAGCTCCAGGTAGGCGGTGAAACCACCCTCATCGGCAGGGCAGTGGGCGCGAATGTAGGCACATTGGTCCACTGCGGTGTGCACCAGTCGGCACTCCTCGTCGCTGCTCAGAGGCTTGAGCGGGGTTTCGACATTGCGGGTGTACAGCGCTCGCTCTCGATATCCGGCAGATGGTCCATAGGAATGGGAGAAGAGGGAGTAGGCGGCCAAGCAGGTCGCGATGCAGAGGAAGATGTAGAAAGCGCGAGCAGCGCGGTATTTCGGCCGCGAGGCTAGGCGTGTGGGCGGACGAGGCTTGTGGTGTTCGCGGGCAGGTTTCGCCATGATGGAGGACGCATCTTCCGCTCGGACGGTCGACAGGGGAGGCGATAGCAATAAAGAGGGGCGCGAGAGGCGTCGAGGCGACTACTGCGCATCGCGGGTGTCGAGGGTTCGGCGCAGTGCGGGCGCAGTACAGAGACCGCAGAGCTGGCGAGTGGTGCCCTCCGGGACGGTCGATGGAAGTGAGCCAGCAAGCAAGATAAGTGCACCGCCACCCACGGCGTCATCAGTGCTCGCCGACGTGGCAGATCTTCGATTCAGGCATCCCTCAGGCACGCGCCGCCACGCGTGGGCTGTCTCGCGTCGCGCCGCACATTTCCGCTGGCCAGAGCGGTGCGCATGGTGACGGCGGTGAGAGCGTGCGGTGAGGAAGTGCTGTCGTCGCTGCCGGCAGTTCTGCTCCGCGGCGCGCTCGTCTCACATCCGGAGAATCGTCTGCAGTGGCACGACACGACAGGTGCCGACCTTGGCGACCGGACCCTTCGCCGTTTTGTTTACACGGACGTAAAGTTGTAAACACGCACGTCGCAGAAGCACGACCCCTGCATGATTGTGTGTAGGACGCGGTGTTGAGCCGACGTAGCGAGTCGCATCCATTCTGCTGCACGATACGACCACCGCTCCCTTCCTCCTCCACCATGCCTCGTGTGCGCGCGACTGGCGGCGCCTCGGCCAGCTACGCCCCGTCGCCCGTGAAGGGAGTGCTGATTCCGCTCAACGACGACGACGAGGAGAAGGCCCAGCGCCTGCAGAACCGCAAAGCCTTGCATTCGCGCCAGATGTCGTCCCTCAAAGCCGCCGCGACTACGCCCCAGCGCAAGCGGAAGTCGCTGGGGAGAGGCGAAGGAGATCCCGCGACGCCCGCCGGCGACGACGATGACCCATATGCAGCGCGAGGAGACCATGTAACGCCGATGAAGCGGGTGCCCATTCTGGCCAATTTCGAGACGTGGATGAAGATGGCGACCGACAACAAGATCAACGCGAACAATTCGTGGGACTTCGCCCTGATCGATTACTTCCACGACATGAGCCTACTGAAAGAGGGCAACGGCGTGAATTTCCAGAAGGCGAGTTGCACCCTGGACGGGTGTGTCAAGATCTACACAAGCCGAGTGGATAGTGTGGCCACAGAGACCGGAAAGCTGCTGAGCGGATTGGCAGACAGCGGCAACAAGAAGCGGAAGGGCGGAGAAGTGGAGGATGGTGCCGAGGAGGACGAGGACGATGAGAACGAGGATGGGACGAAGAAAAAGGGCAAGAAGAAGGCGCAACGATCTGCTGAGGCCACTCTTGCGACTTCATTGGATACGCTGAAGCTCAAGAAGATGGAGTTGGAATTTTCTGTGGACCCATTGTTCAAAAAGGCTGCGGCAGACTTTGATGAGGGTGGTGCGAAAGGCCTTCTCATGAATCATTTGTCAATCGACAGCACAGGACGGATTGTGTTTGACAGCAGTGATGATGCGCAGGATGCGGATACGGACGACACTCGAAGGGATAGCATGGAGCCTGAGGGCGACAACGAGGACAAGTCGACGATCGAAGCACAAATACAGGAACACGAAGACGGTATTGTGGACGTTACTGCCTTGGGCGCACGATTCTTCCCCGATCTGACTGCACTGGACACGCAAGATATTTGCCCATCGCTCAAAACATTCGAGCTCGGGGCGGGCGGCGATGGATCGCTCGATCTGCCCTTCCTTAAAGCACCGGAGAACTGGCGAGACGAGCATCCTGAGACCAGCAGCGAGGACCAAGGCGCGGACTCGAATGAGCAGATCGCAGCTTTTGGCGACGACGATGACGAAGGCCCTATGGGATTCGATATGCCCGCAGATGTTGGATTCGGTGAAGGCGGCGAAGCGTGGGCACGAGACGCTGCACTACAGCCTCAAATGCGCGTATATGACGCTTCAACTGGCCCAGACGCTGGAGATGATCCCGCCGCAGAAGTGGGCGTGTTTGATACGAGCAGCAACACGTACGGAGTGACGCTCCAGCATCGGCCGCACGATCAAGAAAATATCTTGAATTACTTCGACAACGCGCTGCAAAAGAATTGGGCCGGACCTGAGCACTGGAAAATCGCACGCATAAAAGAGGCCAATACGGTCAAGCCTACACGAACGCGCAAGGAGAAAGAGCCGTTCGAGATCGACTTTGCGGCGCCAATGTCACAAGACTTGGCGAATTTGCTGTACACGAGTGCGCCAAACAACAGCAGTATATCGTTGCCGAAGAAGGAATGGAAGAGCAAGGATCGAAATCTGCTTCCGGACGACAAACATTTCAACTCAAAGGACCTCCTCAAACTGTTCTTGAAACCCAAGGCTAAAATGGGAGCACGAAGATCCGGTCCTCAAGGAGCTGGAGAGGTAGATGAGGCGTATTGGGCGGCGCATGGGGCGGAAGACGCGCAACGTCCTCATCCAATGGACTCGGACGATGTTGTACAGGGCGACTACGATGCCAACTTCTTCCAGGACGATGGACTGCCAATGGCTGGCGGGCCAATGGATGACGACGACGATGACTTCGCAGATGCTCGAGAGCACTTTTCTCCTGGCGCAGATGACGCTGCAGGTCCAATTGGTGCTGGCATTGACAGCGTCGCTGGGCCGACCGAGGGAGGCGCCAGCGGAGACGCTTTTGGTGCCAATCTTGTGGCCCAGTCACGGCGGTCTCGACCTGAATATGTACAGTATGCTCGTGTGGCGAAGAAGGTCGATGTGAGGCGACTAAAGGAAGAAATGTGGCGGGGAATTGGCTTCGAACAAAGGTCAGTACATCTCTTCCCGGGAACCTTGAGCATTGGAGGCACCCTGATGTTATTTCCTCTGTGGCTCGGGGAACCACCGCTTCACGATTTGTGATACTGACCATCTTTTCTAGGCCAGCGCCGCAAACTCCAGCCGCACGACCATCCATTCCAGCTCTTTCCTTTGACGACAAGTCGACGCTGCGGTTCACAGACATCATGAACAACCTGCAACATGTTTATCCAAAGCAACAAATGAGCGACATCAGCACATCATATGGTTTCATTTGTCTGTTGCATCTCGCAAACGAAAAGGGGCTGGTAATTGAGAACGTGGATGACTGGACCGACTTGACGGTGCGGAAAGACTTCGGCGCCATCATTGCGGAGGGCGATATATGATGCGGTTTGCACTCTGTGTCGGAGCTTGAGTCTGCCATGCAATTGAATATGGGCAGTGTACAGGCGTTGGATGAAGGATGATGAGACGAGGCATGCTGGCGTTCTGTTCTGAAGGGTCAAAGGCTTCGAGCCTGCCGTTTCGTATTGATGCATGGGATGGATTATTTTTCGATCGCGATTTGAGGTGTTTAGCACGAGGCGGTTGTAGCATTGCAGTGAGCGGGTGGCCACATCGTCCACGTGCGAGAAAGAAATACTCACTATCTGCGGTCGCAAGCCGTGCTTTCACACGCAAGCAGATCTGTCAGAGCCTTTGCGGCGCAGGTGAGCGCGCGCATTCCTTCTTTACGCGATCATGAGGTGGCGAGGAAGGCGCCATGGGGAAGTCTGCAGCCTGGACCAAATTTAACATCAAGTCACTCTTCAACTTCCGCCCTACCTTCAAGAGAACACCACAGCACGAAGTGTCGTCGACGGCAGAATGGCAAGCATGGGGCTCTTGAGCCCGACTTTACACATTGAGGTTCTCATGACCAGCGCTGTCTCGGCTCAGGCACTGAAAGACATCCGAACAGCCATCACGCAGTTCTTGCACAAACAATACTGGGGCTTGAAGCTTGACCAAGAAATTTCCGGATACGAAGACATCGCACACGCGCACCTGATCGCCCGAATAGACGTCGCAGACTACACTGGTCCGCCGCAAGAAGGAAACTGTTACGTCCTGAATGAGGTCCAACTAGACGTCGTCATCTACACACTCCGAGCCTTCGAAGAAGCTCGACCACGTCGCAGAATCAGCCAGTTTGCAGCTGAAGATGAGGTCTCGCAGACACGCATTCTGCCTCTGCCTCATGTGGCTCTGAAAGATGAGTGGAGCTCGCTGATTTATGGTGATCGTCTTCCTTCGCAGCTGCTACGCTACCTCTGCCGGATGTTGGTTGTGATGAAGCAGCCTGGGCTCAATCTGAGCTTGTTCAATTGGAATCGGCTCTGTCTGCTGTAAGTGAAGGCTGTCATCAATCTCAAGCCCGAACACGGTCTGATCTGTAATGCAGTCATGGGCCTCCAGGTAGCGGCAAGAGTACTCTGTGCCGCGCACTGGCGCAGAAGCTCAGCATCCGACTCTCGGGTATGTTTTCTCAGGCCGTACTCATGGAAGTCAACACGACAGCGATGCTCTCCAAGTACTTTGGCGAAAGTGGCAAGCTTATCACTTCACTGTTCGACAAGATCCACGGCATGGCACAATCTTCTACGACGCTGGTTTGTGTTGTCATTGACGAAATTGAGACCATTGCCGGCTCGCGAGAAAAGGCCAATGCTGGTGGCGAGTGTAGCGACGGAGTTCGGGCGACCAACCAATTACTCACTGCGCTTGATCGTCTCAGAGCGCTGCCCAACATTGTCGTGCTGTGCACGAGCAATCTTCTTGGTGCGATTGTGAGTGACGATGCGTCTTTCTGGTACCACGAGTAATACTGATGGCTGCGACCAGGATCCAGCATTTCTCGATCGAGTCGATATCAAGCAGTTCGTGCCTAGCCCGTCTCAGTCAGCGATTTACAACATCTTCCGGTCCTGCTTGAACGCGCTTGTCGCGGACGCAGCACCAGATGGAACTGCACACCCAGTATCGCCAAAAGAAGCTGATTCCCCAGCTGAGACTCCGCAGCAGCGTACGCAAACCTCTCCCGAGGACGGGAGCACGACCAAGCCCGAAAAGCCCTCGATTGCAACGTTGGAGCAGATGAAGATTGAGTATTATGAGCAGCCGGAAGCAGCTTGTCGACGATTGTGGACCATAGCTCGGAAGTGCGAGGGGTTCAGTGGACGGAGACTGCGTCGTTTACCTATACATGGCCTGGCAATGTACACATGGTGCAGCACGTACTCCCTTGATGATGCGGTCACCGCTCTCGAAGCAGCAGTCGATGAGGAGCTGCAGGTGAAGTCGAGTGGCACTGCGTGAACTCATGTGAGGAAGCTCGTCATGAACTCTTGCGCCCGACAGCGAACCGAGACTAGAATTACTTAGCGTTGCATGCCAGACGAACGTCGAAAGTTCCATCGCTTTTCCGTATGTCTGCTCTGTACAGCACCTCGTTCGCAAACCAATCTTCCACTGGCCTTGAGCCTTGTATCGGAAAGATGTGGAGGACGCCAGTGTTCTTCATACGTCAGACATGTCGTTCCACATGCTCGCCGGCCTGGTCCGCCCCTCGCCTTGGCGACGCAAGCAAGCCCCGCATCCAGCCAGTGCTCGCCATTGACGAGATCCAGATTTCGGAGAGCTCGCATATCCTCCCTGCACTACGTCAAATCTCACACTACCCTCATCTATCTACTCTACTGCCATTGTGAACAATGACCACTCTCAAAGGACCCGGCGAAGCCAAGACGTACGATGGTATGTCGCTCTGATGAAGCAGCCCCTCCAACCTCAATGACGAAGCTGACCACGCACGACTCTCATAGGCGCGAACTTGCGCATCGGCATCGTCCACGCCCGCTGGAACACAAAAATCATCGACGCTCTTCTCCAGGGCACCCTAAAGTCGCTCAAAGCCGCCGGTGTCCGACAAGAGAACATTGTCATCCAAACCGTCCCAGGCTCCTACGAACTGCCCTACGCAGTCCAGAAGATGTTCCAAGCCTCTCAATCCCAACCCACAGGCCTTCTCGCCTCTGCGACCGATCTCCTCGCCGGCAGCACCACCGATCTTACACAGACAGCGAAAGAGGGCAAGAAAGAGGGGCCGAGCAAGGAGCCTTTTGATGCTATCATTGCCATTGGCGCATTGATCAAGGGGAGCACTATGCACTTTGAATACATCTCTGACGCTGTTTCGCATGGCCTCATGAAGGTCCAGTTGGATCTTGGTGTGCCTGTGATCTTTGGACTGCTCACGTTGTTAACGGAAGAGCAAGGGTTGGAAAGAGCTGGAATTGATGCTGCGGGTAAGGGACATAATCATGGTGAAGACTGGGGATCAGCAGCGGTTGAGTTGGGAGCGAAGAGACGGGGATGGAATGAAGGGAGCTTCATTGAATAAATGCTATACCCGAGAGTACATTTTTGAAGCCTCTCTAGCTCGAGAGTCCAGATCGTTCAATGATGACCAGCGATCTACATCGTGTATCGACCTTCTCACCTCCAACAATCACGATTTCAAAGCGATGATGGCCGTGGCTAGCCGGATGTGAAGTTACATGAGGGTAAGGTCCGCACATATTGACCAATTGTCCCCTTCTGAGCACGTCCATCGCCAGGCCACGATACATAATGTCTTCAAGGTTCCATTTGTGGTTGGTCGAAAGTCCAGAGTGAAGGCATCGGAGTGCCAACACAAGACCCCGAATGCCACAAATTGGCCAACTCAAGCTGCGAGCGAGGAAATCCATTCTGTTGTGATCTTTCAAACTCCCAGAGTGTTTTCACTCACCACATTCGCGGCTAACGAAATCGTCCAGTAGTCGATGAAGCCTAGCTTCCTCGTCTTCTCCTGCAAAGATTGAATCGATAGCTCTTCGACTGAGGTCGACTATTTCAGTCTTGCTCAGATCAAAATGATGGGCCGCCAGCTGATATTCATTCGAGAGGGGACTCCCAAAGACTCCCACATCGTCTGTCTATGTTCTGTCAGCCACTTCAAACGGATCTGTTGTCGAAGCAATATGGATACTAACCGATAACGCAATAGGATTTCCCCTTCCCTTCCACCTCCCAAAGTGATGATCCACATATCCTCCTTCTCCAGGCAACATCTTCGCAAGCACATTACAACTCAAACACAATTCCAACCCCACCCCCTGTCGTCCAATCTCCTCCTCAATCACCGGCGTCGTATGAATCACATGTCCAATCCGATCAGGTTTCCACTCCAACAACATCTCCATCTCCTCCTCCGTACTCGAAGCCGGCACTTCAGCAAAATGCAACGTAACCTTCAACCCATGTCTTTTCGCTTCCTCAAAAGCAGGAGCCAAATGCTCAACAGGTCCCACAGTAGGATTCCCGCAAAGATCCACGCCCACTACGCCACGAGATCGATATTTCACCGCAAATTCCACAACATGGAGTGCTTGTTCGAGAGTATTGCGTCGATCAATACTCAGGATCAAATATGTCGGCATATCATCCCTTCCCTCAAATGTCTCAATAGCATCTAAAACACCTTCCAAATATTCTTCCCTTTCCATTCCCGTCTTCTCATGTCGTCGTGGCGTGGTTCGCAATTCTAGATATCTCACCCCATCTTCTCGAAATGCTTGTAAAACACTCTTCGTGGAAAGTTTCACTGCTTGGGGAGTATTTACCAGATCGTAAATATACGTGTCAAAGATCTTGAAGAATGTCGTAATGTCATGGTGTTGTTTTCCAATTGGTTGTAAAGCAATAGATGGGTCTTTGAGGTTTGTTTCTGATTTGAGCCAGATGTCACGTAAACATTCGGGACTGATGCTGCCTGTGAGATGAGCGTGTAGTTCGATCTTGGGTAGTTTGAGAGCGAATGAAGTGTCGATGGGCATGGCTGGATTGATGACCAACGGGCCCCGACTTCTGACTGCAGTTGCTTTATCTTTCAGCTTGAATGCCTAATCTTGTAGAATGGTGCTGTAATTGGAGCTGGTAGAAACTCGTGTGGCATGAGAGACTCTGGAAGCAGTCGCGAGGTGCTAGACGTTAACGCCAGTGCTATCTCCGAGTGCCTGAGGCAGACATCGGATTCAGTTCACATCCAAGTGGTCCAAGTTTCGTCTGTTCAACAAATGGTGGGAGTGCAGATGTATACCATATCGTGGCACTGGCGTCGCATGCGTCTAATTCGTCGATGCTATCTACATAGAGTCATATCTGCTGAAACCTACACCACGCTTAACGCTCCAGAAAACAGGTGGATTCACGCTCCAGAAGACACGCCATCGGGATTCCACTCCTAGTCGAAGTCCATGGGTTTGTCTTCTAGTTGTACGCCCTTCGTCTCAGGTGATTCTGCACTAGGGGCGACGTCACTGCCTTCACCGTTTTCAGTCTTGCTGGCGTTCGCGAGCGACTGGCGTCGCAGGCCGCCAGTGCCGCGTCGCCCAGCCACGCCTCGGGCGCGAGAAAGACTGTCCCTCTTCGTCGGTGTCTCGGCATCTGGTGTCATCGCCACAGGCGATTGCTCTTCGGCAAGATTGTATTTGGAAGCCGGCGCCTTGACGCTAATGTTGCTGGCGACAGAGTCGCGAGTTGTTGATGTCTCTGCTGCTCCTGCAGGTGTGCTCTCGCTGCTGCCGGAATAGAAGTGACCAGGGCTCATGAAGTCACTGGCTGAGGTGATCGAGGCAGAGACCTGCGCAGAACTGCGTTGTGTGGTTTCGGTGCCACTTCGCTCTCTGCCAGGCTGGCTCTCTGCTGGTGGTGGTTTGTGGAACCCGTTGAGCGCAGAATCATGCGTGCGGGCGGAGGGAGGGCTCTGCGGTGGCACACTCAGGCTATCTCTATGGCCTCCAGAGGACGTGCTAGAACGATCCGCAGTTGGCGACATTACGCGGGCATTCTGCGCCGCAGTAGTGCTAACCGGGAATCTCGTTTCTGGTCCACGACTACGATCACGGCGGTGACCGGGTAGCGGGACTCGCGTGTCAGCTGCCGGCGCTGGGCTCGTCGCTCTGCTTCTAGGCCCACTGGAGGCATTCGTGTGTTGGGCTGCCGCGATGGCTCGGTGCCGCTCTTCCATGGCTTCTTTACGCTTAGATTCGTCGGTGGAAATCGCTCTCGTCTGCCGCGTGCCAGACGCCGTGTGAGTTAAACTCGACTGCCGTTTTAACTCTCCAAATATTGCGTCTTTGTGCGCGAGCAGATCTTTAATCAGGCGAGCGTTGTACCTCTCATTCATGCTGAGACCAGTTTCCTGCTTAGGCCGCATAATACATGGTGCCAACACAGCAGCCAGCTTCGACACGTACTCTTCATCGGCACTCGTCAGCTCCACCAAACGAGTGAAGTGCGTGATGATAGCATCCAGTGTGGCAATATTCGCTAGACGAAGCTGACCCAAAGTCGACTGTATGACTTGAATGCGCGCGGCTTCCGACGTTGATTGTGCCGTGGAGGCGTAGATGGTCTTGATAATCTCGTAGACGTGCGAGCTCACCAGGCTATCAGGGAGCTCGAGCAGGTACAACTTCAGGACGGCAGCGACTATCGGCACTTCGTATTTCTCCAAGGTAGCCTGAGACACAGGCCCGCCTGTGTTGACTTGATTGCGCAGGTGGTGGGTCGCAGCGAGGGGAACTTCCACCAGCCAAATGCTCCGACGTGCCTCGTCACCTTCAAGATCGGGATAATGCGAGTCCAGAAATGTTAGAATCGACGTAACCAGCAGTGGAACGCGCTTCTTATCCGCCCGCGCGCGCAGCTCAATGTCCACACCGAAGGTCTGCTCTTCGACTTTGTTGTAGTAATTCTCGTATATCGTCACTTTGGGCACGAAGTTTCCAGTACGGTAGTTCTCGAGCAAGTACCGCAGATCGGCCAATGGCTGAACGGTCTCCTGGAACAACATCATATTGTCCACACTAGACTGCAGCGAGGGTATGACGTTACTGACGGCGCCGCTAAAGTCCAGGATGACGCTCTTGATGGCTTTCAGTCGATCCAGCTCGCAGCGCTCCATGAATTTCATGTGATCTACCATGGCAACCTCGAGGCTGCAGCGGAGACCGTCGAGCTTCTTGACCGCCGCCTTGTACCGCTCATCAGCTTCTCGTGCCTCTCTGCGCAGTCTGTCGGCCGGTGTCTCGTTTGGATGTGCGTTGTTCAGTGGATTCCAGCCACCGAGATATTCGCTGACCTTGTCGCCAATGACAGGACTACCTGGCACGGAGTCGGAGCTGGAGGACATCATTGTCGAAGAACGGTGGAGCGGACTTCTCTTCTCTGGCATGCCTGTCAGTTGAAAGACCTTCGTCTTCCACTGATACTTCATCTTGCTGCTGTTTGCAAAACTGTTGCCCACATTTCCTACTAGACGTAAAAAGCCATGATCGCACAGATCCTGACCTATACGCTCAGCGTACGCGACGCTGTTTGCGCCCAGGTGGCTCTGCACATACTCCGTAATGTCCGCACCAGAGCTCGTGTTCTGATATGTGCCCAGGATGGGGACCTTCGTCTCGCCCAGCGGAATGGTCTCCAATGCATGTGTCAAGATCTTCTTGACCTGCTCGGGCTGGTAGGTTACGTCCCCTATGTCGATTGGCTCCGGCTCCGGCTCTTCTTCTGCGATCTTGATACTGGGCACACTCGTGACGCTCGTCGCCTTCGGTGAGTTCGTGGCAGCCGCCGATTGTGGATCCTGAAATGCCAGCTTCTCCTCCTCGTCCAAATCCTCCACTCTCCGGCATTTGTTGTAATACTGGCTCCGATATTGTCGCACTGTCTCCGCCTGTCGATCGTGTGCTTTGATGCGACCTTGCAAATCGTCCTGGCTATTCTGCACACGCGCAGCATGCTGGTCGCACCACCGGCTGAAAGGGTTGACCACGAGTTCTCGGATATTTGAGGCGATCTTTTTGTGATTCTTCGCTTCTTCACTCATTTCCGCCCGCACGCCCTCGTATGCCTAGCACGCGTCAGTCCTGATGCAGCGCACTCCTGCAGCCAATTGCGACGAACCTTCTTGACACTGGCGCCATCATCCCTCTGGAAGCCTCCGTCGATACGGCTTGTTGCGCTCTCGATGTCC